GGAAACTTTAATGGGTTACAAGAGCTCATTGCCCAAGAACTTTGGGAACTCAGAATTCAGGAAAAAAATCAGATTTAGGACTTGATCAAGCACCCAAAAAGCTGGTAAATATTTGAGCACTGGCACCAGAAACAGAAATACAACACACCCTCTTTTTTTTCAATTAAAGATTTCACACAGATATTTTTAATGACAAAATATCCATTTAAAAAAAAAAACTAAAATAAATTAAAATCAGCCACACTGCAGTTTTATATAAACTTAATGCCTGACCCAAGCATATCTAAGAAGAGAAAAAGTGGGATACAGAAGCCCCAGGATGTTCCAGGGGCAAGAGGACTTTGGGAAGGCCGGCCCGGGGAGCTGCGACACGTCAGAGCCGGGGCAGATGGACGGGTCATTTTTAGAACTGAATCACGCTGCAAATGATTTGCCTAATTTTAAAACAGAGGTGAGCGAGGAGCTAAAGAGCCTCCAGCCCAGATATGGTTGGAGCCCTGGGTTCAGCTGGCCCACAGACACTGCTGTGCTTTATTGCTCCACAACACAGCTCCGAGGGAAGGCACGTGGGCTTTGAAAGGCTCCGAGCGGTCACATATTTGGGAGCGTGGAATCCTTCGGCTCCAACGTCAGCCCCCCGAGTTTGGAGCCTTGTGTGAAATCTGGGGGGTTGGGTTGGGGTTTGGGGGGGTTTTTTTTTTGTTTTAAACACAGGGATTTTTGAGTTATTGGCCACTAAATATAGCACATTCTTGCGCCCTGAGGAGATGGGATCGCGTTTAAATTATCTTCGTTTGGAAAAGTCGGTTATACCTTGAGTTTGGGTTGGGGTGGAAGGATTTGGATACCTGCTCTGATAGATATTTAGCCCTTATTTAAGGGTTGAAAACCATGGATGTTTTGCCTGGAAAACACAGCCCCAAATATAGATCCGAGTGTCTCCCAGACTTTCCAAGTGCTGAGCGTGAACCTGGAAAGAACCAGGGAAAAGGATTCCCTGAGACACAGAAAATCATCCAAAGCTCCACTTTGGTGCTCCTGCAGTTATGGCATTTATTGAATATACTGGTATTTAGTAAACTGGAGCAAAACCAACCCCCAAAATCCAGGAATCCCTTCCTGGTAAAAGGAGGAGCAGTTTGAAACAGCACCTTTCAAAAGCTTTCCCAACCCAGGATCACTGTGGAGGCTCCCAAAGTTTTCAAAGAGAGGAAGAAGTCAGTAAATTGCTAATATTCCACATTCCAGGCTCGAGAACAACAAGACAACACCGTTGCATCCCCAGGCTGCCCTGACACATCTCCCCTGAAACCTGATCCAAGCTGCTTCCCCAGAAAGATTCCCAGGGAACAACGGGATCCCCCCCCCCAACCCCTAAAAGACAAAAGGAAGTTCTGTTCTAAAAAAAAAAAACCCAGCCTGCTACAGATTCCTGACTACTTTGTTTCTTTAATCAATGATCTCATTTGTTCACTTTTTTTGCAGTGTTTTCCTCCAAAAATAGCAGATACTAAAAAAAAAAAAAAATAAATAATAAAAATAAAATTTCTTCCTCTTGTCTGGTGGTTGGATGAGAGAGGATCCAGTAGATTTTAGATTTATTTTTTTTGTGCTTTTCTTCTACATACAGATGAAATAAATAAAATTTCCCTCCTTGAATTGACAGCATGCTTGTATATATTAAAAAAAAAATAATAATTAAATAGATGCATAAAGCTTCGCTGCCTCAGTCTTAAAAGTCAAAAATTGAATTAAATTAAATAGATTAGGGGGGCAAACACAGTCAAAATACAAGGCCAGTGCCAGCTGTTCATTGTTTTCAATGCTACAGCTTCAGATCCACCCCAAACCATGACATTTGTACTCATTCTAGGGGGGCTAATCACATATATATAGAATATATATGCATATATAGAGAGTATATATATATAGGATATATATAGAGAATATATATAGCATGTATATATATAGTATATATATAAGAATACATATATATAGATGAGAATACATATATATACTTATATATATCATGTATATAGATGAGAATACATATAAATATACACATATATATAGTATATATGTAGATGAGAATACATATATATACACATATATATAGCATATATATAGATGAGAATACATATATATACATATATATACATGAGAATACATATATATACACATATGTATAGCATATATATAGATGAGAATACATATATTTATACACATATATAGATGAGAATACACATATATATACATATATATACATGAGAATATATATATATATATACATATATATATACACATGAGAATACATATATATATATATATATTTATACACATGAAGTAGACAGGTAAAAGCTTGAAGGACGAAGACAAGCCCCAAATAGTTCACATATTTTTATGAAGTCTCTAATTTACCACAACTGATAATCCCAAAAAACACGTTGGCAAGAACCTACCAGAGCTTAAAAATAAAGCCTGGAAGGGGCCAACTCCACGTGAATTTCCATGTTTTTTCAAACATTAGGCAGCATGAATGGAAAAACCTGACTATCTGTATTTATGATATGAGGGCCCAGGTTCTGTTTGGCCAAATTTTTCTCCCAACTTAGGCTGTGTTTGTTTCCTTTGGCAGAGATGGGGGGGGGGGAGGATACCAGGCAACATTATCTTATGGCTCCCTGGATGTAAACCTTGGGAATATCACCATTGGATCCAGCAGGATTTGTTGTGCAAACAGTTGACAACTGTGCTGGTTCCCTCACTTGGGGATTTTCCTGAGCCAGGGCCCCGATATTTCCACTTTTATTTACATTTCAGGTCGCTCCTCCTTCAGCAAGACACCAAAATAATTGTGTTTTTAACGCCACTCAAAATGCAGACTAAGCAAAAATTATGACAACATATATATATATTTTTAATCCCAGGCTTCAATTTTGCCTCATATCACGATAATGAATTAATATACTCCTTAATATAGGTCTCAGATAGCAGATGTTGTTGCACGACAAGGGTTTTTAAAATACTGCTTTTGCTTACTTTAAAATATTCTCTGGAGAACAAGAAAATATCTGTGGAAAAAGAAAAACTGCATACTGAATTTAACCTGAGTAATAAATGAAATTCTTTTATTCTGTCTTAGAAACCTAAAAAGGAATTTTCAAGCGTTTCACCATTTCGAGTCCATTTAATGCTCCCGAAACCGAATATTTCAGGTAAAAACCATTTAAACAAACAACAAATGATGCATCTTGGGCATGTCCAGCTCCCTGTGCCATGTCCCTCAGCTGCAGCCCAACGAACCAAGGATGGAAACTGCTCCACAGTTTGTCCCTCAGTCCTTCCCATGGGAAGGAGAGGAGGTAGTGGAGGTTTTTGGGGATGGGAGCACCTGTCGAGCTGCAGATAAACCGAGCTGAGAGACTCAGCTCACAAAGGTCTATGAATAGCCCCTGATTCCTGCTCCCTCTGCCAGATCCAAACAACAACAGGGAGGTGGAGGGCTCGAAACACAGACCCTGGGAGCCAAAGAGTTTAAAACAGGGCTTAGAAGTTTAAATTATCTGGTTTTTACACCTCTTTTATGCCTTATTTTTATATATATATACACACACACACACACACGTGCATTTGTGTATGCAGCTAACCTCATTTGCATATGTACTCACACATAACATCATAATTTAGGAGGTTTTGACAAATTTTTACCTCTATTTAAAACCAGTGCAAAAGCCTGAACTCCTTTCCAGACGATTCATCGAGAAAAAAATAAAATAAAATAAAAAAAAATTGGTGGTATTCCTGTAATAAAGAACTGGGAGTTGGAGAGAGGAAAGGAGTCAGCACTTCTTCATTTCTTAACTGCTGCTTCTTGTTTTATTCCCACTTTTGTTTAGCTCCAGCTACAGGGATCAAATTAAGGCCTCTTGAAAGCTGTGTCCAAAAATGTCAGCCTTGGTTCCTGGGCAGGCCTATTGGAGACTGATTATTGCACCTCACAGTTCCAAAAAGAAATGCAGAGAAAAGCCAAGGAGAGCCTTTCACACGTTCAAGGAACTCTTTAAAAGAATAAGCAGGTCCTTGATGGCATAAAAAAAAAAAAAAGAAAGAAACGGATCCTGTGCCTTTTTATTGTTGAAATCAAGGGTGATTTCCACGATCACAAAGTGATTTCCAATTCCACTGGGGCAGGAGAGGAACTGATAGAGGGATCTTAAAAACCAACAACACAAAACTAAACCCTCCAACAAGCCAAGAAGCCCGAAAGAACAAACAGAATTCCCTGCTTTTCCTGAAGTTTTACCAGGATTTTTGCAAAGGAAGCTCAGCCAGTTTCCAAATTTGAGTCCCTGGCCATTAAGGGATGAGATTCAAGTGCTTTGTGCACGTGGCCCCTTAAGCCCATGGAGACACTGGGACATTAGTGGGGCTCCAGATGGGCACGAGGGGCCTCCCACCTGGCTGCTGCTTCCCAGGAGGAACATCCAGGATAAGCAGTGGCTGCTGATCCAGAAAGCAGCGCTGGAGTTAGGGACTGTGTTCCAGCCACTCGTCTGCCACACGCGAGGACTGACAGCAGGAAAACCAAAAATAAATCTCCTGACAAAAGGGAATCAAGCAACCCACTGAAAACCAAGGCATTCCACTTGGACTCTGACTTAGGCCAAGATCTCCAGGGTTTTTTTTTTTTAAACAAGGAAGAAAGACTGATCCCTCCGCAAGCAAAGAACCCCAGGACTGCAAGAAAAGTTCCATTATTCCAAGTATTGCATCATAAAGGTTCTCCTCAAACATCCTCCTGCCCAGTCCAAACAACACCAACACATTCACCCCCCAAAAGGCAGGAAGGTAAGGCAGCAAACTCCAAGGAAACACTGCTAAAAGACAAATATAAGTCAGGCCCAAACAGCATTTTTATAGGTCCTTGCTAATTCCAAACAATCTGCCCCAGAGTCCCACCAGGAATACAGGAAAATAATGATTAATTTTCTCTCGAAAGGTAAAGAACTGGAAAATCCACACGAAGTTTTCCTACAAGCAATTACCAGTTCTAAATCCCTACTGATAACGGCGGCAAAAAGAGCTTAAAAACCCAAATAAAAGGAAACTGTTGCCTTTGAGTGGTAGCTGCTGATGATTCACAGTCTGTCTTAGCACAGGTTGAGGGATTCAATTCCTTCAGTTCTTGGAAGGCTGTGAGAGCAGCCAGAAGCCCCAAATTAGCCTGAGACCCCTCTGTGGGTCCTGCAGAAACGCAGGAATTGCCTCCAAGCCCACCCAGAATCCCAGTCCCACCCAGTGGTTCCTTCAGAGGGACCTTCACTCCCCAATCCTCCCAAATCCACCTCTGTCCTTCCAGCACAAACTTGGCTGCAGGAGCTGGAGGCCCATGGAAGCCAAGGTTTATCAGGAATTTTACCTCCAGGATTTCAAGTAAGGGAAGACCCTGAATTATCCTGCCCGGTTTCGGAATTCTGCTGGAATTCTGGGAATTTTACTGTGCCACCACACTAAACCAAACCATACCTATTTGAGACCCTGAAACACAGAGAGGTTGTTAAATCCCTTGTGAGAATTAAAGGTATCTCATCACTGGAGGCCATGGAAGTTGGGGGCAGAGCTGCAGCTCCACATTCACGGGGAGCGTAATCCCGGAGCCGCTCCAGGTTTCCATGGGTAGATGAAAGGAGATCAATGGGATCTCAGGTGGAGGAAAGCAGCACTGTCACGAAATAAAAAAGGAAATTACATCCTTCACTCTTGGACAGGCTTTTGCAGCCCAAGTCCTCCCTGAAAAGGGAGTCTCACGTTCCAGTGAGAGGGTTTTATACGCGGGTCTGTAGAGTTTAACGACCGTTATCGATGTTCTTTTCACGTTTAAACCCCAAATTAGCACGAGCAGAAAGAAAACTCATGGCAAACTATTAGAAAGAACTACAGCCCTGGCTGCTGCCTTCAGTTCTCCAGCACAACATCGTCAAATACCAACCCAACTCTTGCTTCCCTCCCATCCTTCCCACCCCACCAAATCAAGGATTTCGCGAACTCTCGCCAGCCTGGTCCCAAAACTGCTGCTTCACACAAGACAGGAACGTACAAATTAGGAATGGGAGACACAACAGCACGTCAGGAGGGCTCTTTCTCGTGGGCACCCTCCAGGGATGACACACACTCCCCCGCTGACCACCACGGAACCGGGATGCCCCTCTGGAATACACACCCATGGCCTACTCCACGGCCCAGCATCCAGCACTTAATTGACCAAAAACAAACCAAAGCACTCAAACCGCCTTTCTGAAATTACAGAGGACGTAATTAAGCCCCAGGAATAAGCAGACAACAGCAATTTTAATATAAACATCCTACTTGTGGAGAGGACTCCGATTCCAACTTGGCCTTAATGTCCCAACTCTTACTCCTGGATCCTTGCAAAGGCCTCTCCCAACATTTCCTCGAGCCCAGGACTGAGTTTGACATTTAAACCCACCGCATTTTTAACCTATTTCAGACATTTTGACACGCAACCAGCAGGAAACATGGTCAGGTCAGACCACCAGTGGTACCTGATGGAGACATTTGGCCTTCCCAGCCAGAAAAGCCACGGAAAAACAAGATCCCGACATATATATTTGAACAAATCATTGCCCAAATATAGCCGGGCACCGGAGACAAACCAGGGGCTGCCACCAACCACCCCCCGACCCCGCAAACACCGAGCCCAGCCCCTGGGCTGCCTATCCCTGGAAGTTCAGCTGCGGGAGAGGGTCTTTGTACAAGTGGTCTTTGTACCTTAATAACTCAAACAATAAGTCAAACAACGGCCTGAGGCCCGGGGGGGGGGGG